AATGACAAATACTTCTCTTTCAGCCTAACAAATTGCTCCGATACCAATTTGATAGGAAACACTTGTAGGCACAAAAATTTCCCTTGCTGAATTTGAATTTCAGCCTTTGCACAAATAGATTTGAGAAGAATTTGGGAGAAATAATAAGAAAGAAATATTTTTTATTGATAAAAGATGAAAGAAAATGAATAAGATACAATGGATCCTCAATTGGAGAGGAGGATCCGTCTCTCTCAATCTTTAGCGGCTGGCTAGAGCCCAAGAAAACTCTAGGAACTCTTTAAAATTCAGCAAATATTTAGATAACCTGTTAGACCGGTCCTCTTTGGACCGGTCCAGATTGGGCCGGCTCGGTTTGTCTATAGGCGACGAGAAAGGGCGGACAAAGGGGGGAGCCGGCAGAAGAGTGAGGAGCTGTTTGGGTGGGGTCCACTTGGTTTTGATTTTGTTTCTTGGAGCCAAAAGATGTGGGAGCAAGGGCAATTAGGTCCTTTTAGGTTATTTTTGAATTGTATGCATTAAGTAGGAATAAAAGAAGAAATTAGGATTATGTGAAATTTGCTTGGAGTTTTCTTGTTCTTCTTTGGTGGCTAGGGCTCTAGGTCAAATTCTAGAGATTGGGAGAGTGCGATCCTCCTCTCGAATAGAGGATCCTTGTATCTTTGTGGGCTCCGAAAATTCGGCCCCGGCCTCCGCGCTCGCTTTTCTTATTCGGCGAGGGAGTTTTAACAAACTAAGTTCCGGGGTAAATTTTGGAAGGCAGATGGGTTTGTAGATAAGACACTACCCAGAGATTTCGCCCTCATTTTGCGAGGACTTTATGCAGGTCAACAATCTTTGCTATTTTCCTTGCATCTATTAGTAAAATACAAGTCTTTTCTCTACGTTTTCTGCAGTTTTTCTCTGTTTTCCCTCAGTTTTGGGCTGTTTTCCTGCTGTGGACAGCAGTTGGTCTTGAGATTTGTTGCCAAAGTGATTAGGAAATACTTGAAATCAAGTATTTCCTATCATAACCCTATTCCTAAACAATTTCATCGATTTAAAGCATACAAATATGATCTCTTGGGGTGCAACCACACTAGCACCAGTGCACTAGATCCCATCAGAACTCTGCAGTTAAGTGTGCTTGGGCGAGAGTAGTACTAGGATGGATGACCTCCTAGGAAGTCCACGTGTTGCACCCCTTAAAAAAAATACAAATATGATCTGAATTACTAAACCACCCCTCCCTAAATCAAATCATGCCTAAAACAATCATTCCTCTTCAAGCAATGGGCCCACAAGATCGGCTGCCCCCTCTTAATCCAATCATGCCTAAATTCCCCCTTCCTCTTCAAGTAATGGGCCCCACAAGGGGGTTGGCGGCTGGCTTGGCCCTTCTAGAGTAAACCAGCCCTAGGATATTAATAGTAGTTTATTCACTACTTAGATGAGAAAAGGAGGCTGAGATCATTTACAGTACTTTTGGTAAACTAATTACGAAAGTACAATATTGCTGATTTATAGGAGATAGTAGCAACATGACAACGGGTGGTCCATGATCTCGTGAGCTTGTTAGCTAGGTATTGAGATCTGTTCAGTTTGGTAGCAGCCATGTAGCATGCACTTATGATATATTGAACTTTGCTGAGGTAATGGTGACGGCATTAATGGTATGACTGTTGGCAGAACAATCCTTCTAGTAAGGTTATTCACCTGACTCGAGCAAACTGACTTATAGTATGACCTGTCTGTAAACTGTACTTAGGTTTGGGAACAAAATAGTTTAGACCAACTAGTACCCCATATAACTGGAGATGTCTTTTATTTTGTTAACATGTACCTTTTTGTGTGATTTTAACTTGCTTAGGCTTCGAACTTTAAAGTATTATAACTCATCCCAAAAATATATCTGTTAGCTTAGGAAAATGTCAAGATAGGAAAGTTCTTTGTTTTTAGTAAACCGTATATGTTTATTTGGTTGCTAGAATATTATACTTTATTGAATAAGACACATTAAAGAGATTTTCCACTTTTCTGTATCATATTTTTTTAATGCCCTTCCAAATGCAATGTTACATTTGTTATTTGGGATATTTGTATTAAACTCCCTATAGTTTGGTATTTTGGTGAAATGTTTTTGGGATATTTATATAAAACTCTCTATATTTTGGTCTCTTGATAAAAAATGATGTAATCTAGAAATCTCTAAACCAAGTAAGAGAGCTAGGTATGCAAACTAAACACCTTCCTTTCAATATAAAAAAAAATAAACACAATAATAAAACAGAACACAACAACACTTACAATATCTAATAGAAAAGGACACAACGACACCTTATAACTTCAAATAAAAAGAACACAACAACACCTTACAACTTCAAATAAAAAGAACACAATACAACTTAAGACTAATTAAAGTTTCGAGAAGAAAGATACAAGTAAAATGTAAATTGCGGAGAGAAGAATAGATAGAAATACAAGACTAAATATAAGAAGGAAGGTAGAAGAGGATAACTCGCAAGCTATGACAAACCCGCATGTTTCATATTTCAAAAATTCATCATATCTCACTCTGTTTTCACAAAGAAATTCAGCCGCAATGTATGTATAGGAGGAAGAAGGGGGGAAGGACATTTATTATCCCACATAAATGTGTTACTAAAACAGCCACTAACACCCCTCCAAATCAGCCCATATATAGAGAAGTCAAAGCAAACAACACAGGGATCAGCAAAGGAAAGAAACTGAGCAGCCAACAACAAAGAAACCAAGAAAACAACAGGTAAACCGAGCAGCCACATGGGCAAACCAAACAGCCATCATGAGAAGACAAAACAACCACATGGGAAGACCAAATAGGCACATGGGGAAACCAAATAGCAGCAAGGAATTCAAGTAGTCAGTAGGGAAAACGAGTAGACAATAGGGAAAATGAGAAGACAATAAGAAAATTGAGTAGACAACAGGGAAAACGAAAAGCCACAGGAGAAAAAGAGCTAGAAACATAAATGAAAAATAAAAAAAAGTCATAGAATAGCTAGCCTTATAAAAAAATGACAATAGTTTCAAAATTTTACAAAACAAGTTAAAATTTTTTACTCTATTTCACAAACAAGCCCAAGTAATCCTGGCCTTGTACTAGGATCGTTAGAAATCCTCTGAGTACTCTAGGGTTAATTTTGAAACATCGGCTGTACTACTAATAGTAATATCATAATGTTATGCTATGAATTCATAACAAACTCTACTACTAATATCAGGTTTCACAAAAAAACCCTAGTAGTAGTGTTAGTATTTATTGAAACACTGGCATAAAGTAAGACTTAGTTGTCCCTGTTTACAAAATATCCTATACTATTAGTCCTTGTTTGAGAAATTTTGAT